GCCCTGGGCTCGCTGGAAAGGGGGCTGAGGAGGAAGGAGAGAGTGTTTCCATCGGGCTGTGCCTCCACTGTCCCTGCTGGCTCCCCGTCACACTGTGGCTCCTGCCAAGCCAAGTAGACCAGGGGAGGGTGTTCATTCACCAGCCCAGTAGGACTCCGGCACACCCGTGGGAATGAAGGAGGTGCCTGACCCCAGGTTGTTGCAGTGAGAGCCCTCCGGGGGGCTATAGCTCCTGATCTCAGGCCAAGGGACGCTGCCTGCTGACTCCCCAGCCATGCTTGGACTCAGTGGCACAGGAAGCACTAGTGACTCATCTTGCTCTGAGATGGGGGAGAAGCTGTCGGAGGCTGGGGTGGCCTCAAAGATCTTCCCTAACCCACCCACCCCAACCTCAAGGCCAGGATGGCTGCCTAGAATTCACCTGTGCACGGCTCTTCCCTGGGCTCCCAGGAGAGGTGCTCTCCCTTCCCGCCAGCCCCCCAACCCAAGGGCTTCTTACACCCTCCAAACTTCCAGCATTTGGTCCTCACAGAATTCCACAGGGGCAGCCTGTGTGGCGGGTAACTCATGCACCCAACGAGCTTCTCCTAAGCAGCTAGTGTTCAGCCCATCTGCCTAGGGGCACATTCCATCAGGGAGGTGGCCAGGGTCCCTTGCTGAGAAGCCCCCTGAAGCTTGATAGCACAAGACAGTATTATTTCATCCATGGGCTCTGGGGAGATGTGTCCTGGCAATAGGGGCAGGGCTTGCCTCTGATCCTGACAGTGGGAGGACTTGGGGTCTGGGGTGATGGGACAGCAGACAGATGGTGCCATTGAGTAGCGTCTTCACACCCAGGCCTGGCAGATGGTGGCAGCTGTCTGCCAAAACAGCTGCTTGTGATTCCTCCACAGGGCTGCTCCCCTTGGCTGGTTGGGCTTCCTCACAGCATGGCTGCTGGTTCCCAGTGTCTGTGTCCCAGAGAGGAAGGTGGAGGGACACATGTGCCTCAGAAGCTGCTGCACTGTGCTGGCGGTCCCGGTGTGTAGAGGTCAGCCACCACCCTGGGCAGGGGCACCGACACTGTCTGTGTAGGTCATGTGAGGAAGGGGCATGTGGGCTGGGACACACTTGCAGTTTTTGTAAAATACAGTCTCCTGAGTAGGCCTCAGAGAACAGAGTATCAGCTATAAAAATAAGTCAAATGACAGTGGATTTGCTTTCTATTGCTGTCTCACAACTTATCTCACGTTTAGAAACTTAACACACATTTATAGTCTCATGGCTTCTGTGGGCCAAGTGTCCAGGCAGGGCTTAGCAGGGGCCCCTTGTCCAGCATGCAGTCTAGGAGGTGGCCGGGCTGCAGTCTCAATGTGGGATGGGGAGGTCTCTGTCACCGGGCACCATCAGGCTGTTGGCAGAATTATTTCCTCAGATCTGTAGAACTGGAGGCCTCCCTGAGCTCCTCACCAGGTGTGGTCCCCAGCACGGGCCCTGCTCCTCAGGCCAGCCAGGAGAGGCTCTCAGCAGGGCATAAGGTGCTGCGATCACAGCTGTAGCATCCAGCCACCCTCCTGGAGTCTGTTGGTGGAAAGGGGTCACCTGTGGGTATCAACACTAGGGGTTTACGAGGCCACCTTAGGGCCCGACCCCCATGCATGTTTGTGAAAAGGTGGAAGGTTGGCTGGGTGGGGAGTGCTGGGTTGGTGGGGCTGGTGGGGCCTCATGGACACCTGAGCAGATGGAGGGGTCAAGCCCTTCAGGCCGGGAGCAGGGAGCCCAGAGCCCCTGCCTGGGAGGGGCATGGAAGGGCCCAAGGTGGCTGGGTCAAGATCTGAACCCGAGGAGGCTGGTATGAGGAGGGACAGGGAGACTGGGGTGCCCACCACCTGAACCCTGTGGCCCCCTCTGCTGTCCACCATGGGACCCCACGCAGTCTGCTGTCTGCTGGGGCCCCGAGCTCATGCATTTTACTGCGGGAAGGGGGCAGAGGGGACTATCCGGCACAGCTCTCCATCCCTGCCAGAGCACAGCCGCACAGGAGGGCTGAGCTTACCCTGCCAGGCTGCGCACAGACCTCCGGAACCCCACCCTGCCACCCCAACAGTAGGTCCTCTGCGCAGAGCTCTTGTAGAGTCTGGAGTGTCATTTTTGTGGCATTTATTTAGGTTGGAAAGCCTGAGCAGGGAGCCACGTGCTTCCCACGCCCCCGGTGCCAGCGTTCCCTGGAAGTTATCATGGCAGACGGAACCTTCTCTGTCCCACAGACAGAGGCTCAGCGTCTTCTGGGCTAGGAGCCTGCTGGGGCTGCCTCCACCTCAACCTGCTCCTGCTGCTGGGGAGAGGGGCCCTCTTCCTCGCAGGGGCTGATTTGCAGTTAAAAAGCAAAACAATCAAAAAAAACAAATCCTGGGCCTCCGGAGAGTCCCTCCTCAGCCTGTCCACTGCTCCGCCCCTTCCTTTTGCCCCCACTCAAGCACGTATGGTGCACGAGAGCTCCAGTTAGGGCGCTCGCTCAGCCATGAATGAGCACACCCAAGCTCCCTGCCCTCCTGGAGCTCTCGTGCTGGTGGGCACTAAGTGAGGCAGGGCCAGCGTCCTCAGCTCAGAGGCAGGATGTGCACAGGTCTAGCTCAGGAAGGTGCAGGGGCTCCCGGCTGACCCCCAGACACTCTCCCGTCACCTCACAGCCCCTGGGGCGGGGTCCAGGCCAGCACCCCTCCAGATACAGGGGGCACAGAGCCACACTCAGAAATCACTGCTGCGCCCCCTGCCCTCCCCCCATCCACCTCCCCCAGGGGCCATGGACTCTGCCGAAGTCTCCCACCTCTTTGGCATCACATCTCCCTCAGATGAGGCAGCAACCCTAAGACCAATCCTCTTGGCGCTGTGGGATGCTTTGCCTGCCTGAGACCCGGCCATGCCCCGCCAGGGCTGAGGATCCCCCCAGGGGATGTGCCCTTCCGCTGTGGGGTCTCCGTCCAGCTGCCCCAGCACACACCACTCTGCTGCACACATGGGCTTGGGTGCAGGCTTCCCCCCTCTCCTCAGGAGGCCTTCCCTGTTCCAGCCACCCCAGCAGGGGACAGTCCACTAAGCTGTCCTCAGCTGAGGCCATAGGGCAGGGACAGGCACTCCCCTAGTTCCACCTGCCCGGGTCCCTGGGCCAGCTGCCCCTTGGCATGAGGGTCCTCATGTGACCAAATGGGCACACTCCATCCATGCAGGGGACTAGCAGGGACTAGTGACCAGGCAGAGCCCAGGCTGCACAAGGTCCCCAGGTGGGGGACTGGGACCCCATAGTGCCCCCCCGAAGACAGTGTCCGGCCTTTTCTGAGCCTTCCTGCTGGCCACTCCTGGGGACAGTGGGCCTAGCCCTGAACTGCCGTCACACCCCCTGTCCAGGAGCAAAGCCTGGGGCCTGCGAGAGGCTGTGCCATGTGGCAGATGGCAGAGCTCATGGTCCCAGGCAGGCACTGACTGGGTGGTCGGGGCGTCTTTTCCCCACTCCCAACCACCCACAAACATTTCATGTTTCAGGGGCCATGTGCCAGCCCCAGGGTGGCCGAATGCAGTGGCACCCATGGGTGGGTCCAGCTGCCCAGGGGGCCTGCAGCAGACACTGCCAGTGGTACAAAGTGAGGTTAGAGCATCAGCTGCCTCGTGTCCACCTGGTGCCCATGAGTGGTCCCAGAGAGCCCAGTCTGAGGTGCAAGCCCATGACCCCATTTATCAAGTGGCCCAGGAGGGAGGCAGCAAGGTGATCTTAAGAGGTGGTCACAGCTTGGGACCCCCAGTCCTGCCTAGTAGCCCTTCACAATGAGCCACGGGGAGGAGGCACAAGGCTGAGGGGCCCCACAGGCATAGGAGGCTTGGGTCTATGGGTGGCCCCGACACCTTGCCTCCGCCAGCCCTGGTTCTTTCTGTCCAGCCAGCCTGGGAAGCAGGCCCTGCAGGCCGAGGCTGTTGGTTTTGGTGCCTGCTGCTGCGGGCTCCAATCCGTGTCCCTGGTCTCCCCTCATCAGCCCAGTGCAGGACCCACGGCCCCCTCTGCTCCTGGAGAAAGGAGGGTGTGGCTGAGAGCAGCCACAGTTTGCCTACTGCCTACTGCTCCATGATGGGCCCGGAGCATGGACATGAGACCCTATGTCTGGGCCCATGTCTGGGTGAGCCAGGCCAGTGCTGGAGGGGACTGAAGCCAGCTGGGCACACCCCACCCACAGCTCAGGCTTCCAGAATCCACTGTCCTACCCAATCCGGCTACAGCAGGACCAAGGCCACAGGCTGGGGCCCAGGAGCACAGGGAAGAGGTCATGGCAATGGCCACCATGGAGAGAACTGGAAACCACCATGTCACTCAGCACGGGCTCTGGTGGAACTGTCCCGTGAGCCTCACACGCCTCATGCCCTCTGATGCCAACGTCCGGACGCCCCACTCCAGGGTGGAGGCCAGGGCCTTGAGGGGACAGAGCCTTCTCCCCACCCAGAGTGTGGACCAGGCCAAGGGGCCCTGCGGGGTGTGGGGTGGGCAGTGGCACGGCCACCCACTTGGAGCCCAGGCAGGCAGAGGGCACGAGACTTGAGCATCTGACTCCAGGCTGCGCTGTGGGGCCCCTGAAAGTTGCTGGCGTGCCTCGCCCAGGGGCCACCCTCTATTTCTCTGGAGGTGAGAGAAGTGGGGAGCAGATCCCCAGAGGAGCCTGTGCCCCTCCAGGCCTTGCCTCTCCCAATCCAGGGTCCCTGACACAACCTCAGCCAGGCCTCCGGCCAGGCCCCTCCAGCATGGGCACCTGTGCAGGGCGAGAGAGCTGGGAGCCAGCCTAGCTGCCCCACTCACCATGGCCCCAGAGTGCCCCCCAGGCCTTCCCCACCCCAGATGGCACTGGCTCAGGCCTGGGGAGAAGCTCCTTCTGACCTCCGAACTATCCTGGGAGGTAGGAAAGGGGCCCCACGCTCCTGCCCAGAGGGGCAGTGCCAACCGCCTGGTAGTGGTGTGGTGGCAGTCAGGAGAAGCCAACCAGTTATGGACAGAACCTTTATTGCTGAACATAAAACACCTGCCTGGGAGGCCTGGCCAGTGGCCTCTTTACTGGGCTCAAGACCTGGGTGGAGAGGGCTGGGGGGCCGCAGGGCCACTGCTGCCAACGGCTGTGGGGAACAGGCCTGGAGGCCACCCCTGCTTGGCACCCTGGAGGGTGGTGGGTGGGGACAGGGGCCAGGCCCTGGGCACACACTGGTCACGGAAGTTTCCAGGCAGGCAGAACAGTGTCCCTGTGGCCCCAGGTGGGGCTTGGTGGTGGGCAGCCCTCCTCTGGGGCAGAGTGGCAGACAGAGCCTCTTTCCTCTCCAAGGACCAGGGTCTGAGGTAGGTGCAGGTGGGTTCCTGGGGTCCTCACAAACGTGGCTTGATATGCAGAAGCTTCCCTGTGGAAGAGGGCAAAAGTCAGGTGCCAGGAAAGCCCTAGAAGACCCTCCGCAGTCTGCAACACTCCTGGGCTGGGGCTCAGGACGGGGCAGCTCTGTCAGCCCCAGAAGACCCTCTGCAGTCTGCAACACTCCTGGTCTGGGGCTCAGGACAGGGCAGCTCTGTCAACCCAAGCTAACAGGATCTGGGTTCGAGAGAGAAGAGCACACACAGGCCACAGGCCTCAGCTCCTGACCCTGTGGCCAATGGGTCCTGGTGAGCCACTGTGCCTGTCCAACCGTGGTGCAGGCTCAGACTATGGGGTAAACTGAGGCTTCTGCCTGCAAACCAAGGGTCCTCCTGGCAGGGGCAGCGGTCCTAGCTACAGGGTCTGCAGGTTAAGCCATGGGTCCCAGCACACACAGCACCAGGCAACCCCACACACTCACACCTGCAGTGAGGCTGCCAGGCCCGTGAGGCGGCCATGCTGCACCTTCCATGGGGAAAGCTGGGGTGCACACAAGCTGTGGCAGGAGGGGCAGGGCAGGACAGAGGCCCCAGGGTGAGGCGGGCAGGACCTGGAGGCAGGTGTGGGAGGAAGCAGTTCCCCACAGCGGGGGGACCTCGGGGGCTCCTGCCTTGTGAGCACCCACTCACTAGGTGCCGGCGCCTCTCCTCCCTCCCCAGATCTCCTCCAGACCACCCCACGGACACCATAGCAGCCCACTGAATACAGACGCCTCCATGTAGCTGTCCCAAGACTGGCCTTGCCCCAGTGACCCTCTTCAGGGCAGACGAGCCCACTTGCCCGAACACTGCTGTGGGCCCAGGCAGCAGACTACCCTGCTCTGACCTGTCAGCCTGACCCTGTGGCGGTGCCAGCACTGCAGCCCAGCTTCCTACCCAGAAACCATCCCAGGCACCTCCACCTGCCCGAGTGCCGGCCACAGCAGCCTTTTGAGGGGCCCACCCAAGCTGCACATGGGACCCCTCAGCACCCTGCCCACCTCTGCTGGCTCTGGAATTGGCTGCCGGGTTCCTGATCTTAAAAAAAAAATAGAAGAGGTGGCTGCCTGGGGCCTATCTGCTCCCCCACCCCAGAGACACCCGCCCAGACGGAGGGAGCGGGTGCCCAGGTCTCGTGGGGCGGGGTCTGGCCACACTCCATGCCCAATGTGGAGGCTGTGAGCAGGAGGCAGCCCCTCCGAGGCAGGCGTTTGGGCGTGCTCAGCGGAGCTGCTGGAGAAGGCTGCAGCAAGCATCTCCCATTAACGTTACGACCGTGAAATATGACAATAAAACGATAGCCGTATGGCCGCAGATTTGCTGCCCGCCGAGCTGCGTGGGGTTTATCGTCACTCAAACGCGCGGAGAGCTGTAAAATGTTTACAGAAAGGGTCGTTTGCAGCCATAAAATCCTCTTTTCTCTCCTAAACAAGGCTGAGTGGAGCCATTTACCAAGCCCCAAATGCTCACTGGGGGAGAGGGAACATCTGTTCTCTCCAGGAGTGCGCCGTGATCTTCCAGAACAAATTAACAGAAATGGGTGCTTTCTAATTAAATCAGCCCTCAGCTGGGGCAGACTGTGCAGCGGCCACCGCTACACTCGCCCCCGGCTGGCCCTGCCCCCCGGGCTGGCAGGTGCACACCTGGCGCCCTCAGGACTCACCCAGGCTCCACCTGGAGATTCTGACGTGGTGGTCTGAGATGGGCATTTAAAACTCCCCCGTGCCCGAGCCAGGCCATGCTGCCTACCTGAGTCCTTGGTCAAGGGGACCCTGGGGGCCCGGGCCCTGGGCTGGCCTCCTGGGCTCGGCGAGGACTTCAGAGAGATGAAGGAAGGCAGCTTGCAGAGCCTGCTGGAGCGCGCCACTACTGAGGCGGCCTCCTGGAGAGAGGGGGCCTCCTGGTCCAAGGAATTGAGAGGAGACAGGGAGGAGGGGGAGGCGGGGGAGGAGGAAGGAGAAGAGGAGGAAGAAGAGGAGGAGGAAGCCTTGGAGGATGAGGGAGAGGCTGACACCCCTGGGGAGTGGGGAGGCGCAGCCAGGGCAGCCACAGTGAGGGCAGGAGAGCTGGGCATCTGCCTGGTGGGGCGCTGGGCTGCCAAGGGCTTCCTGCAGGGAAGGAAGGGACAGACGTGTGAGGAGGGGATGATGGGCAGGGGTCCCAGCGACAGGCCACTCATGCTCTCAGCTGCTTCCTGCCTCTGTGGCCCCCTTGAACTCAGGGCAAAGCTGGAGGCACAGGTCAAGCCTGGCCCTTGGCCACAAGGACAGACCAGGTGCGGGGAAGGCCCCAGCTCCACACCAAGCCTGCCCTTCACCTCCAGGGCCTTGGCTTCCTGGTCTACATGGGGGCTGGACGAGGGAGCCCCAGACTCCTCCAGGGGCTAGAACTCCCACCCTCTCCCGGTGAGTAGGTGTCTGTGAAGCCCCACCTTCCTCCATGGGCGAGGGATGCCCTTGGCTCTGTCCAGACTTGGAAGTTGGGTAGGGGTAGCTCTGGGGGTCACACGACCCCAGCCTCGGCTTGAGATTCCTTTCTGGATCTGAAGCCTGAAGAGCTGGAGTCGGGTGGGGGGAGCGCTCACGCAGAGGGCCCTGAGAATCTCCTCAGACAGGGAGGAGACACCTAGGCTCACATGTATAGTGCCCACTGCCCCATCACCTGGACCCGTGGCTGGCCGAGGCTGTGCTCCTGGCAGCAGTGTCGCTGGGTCCTGGGGTGGGGGATGTGGCTGCCCGCCGACTATGGCGTTTCCGGGTACGGTGGAGCAGCTGGCACTGGGTGCCCCGGGGACACGACCCCCTGCGGGCGAAGTCAGGGCACAGCAGTGTGTGTTTCTTCTTGCACTGCAGAGAGAAGGGGTGCAGCTAGGTGGGCTTGCTGGAGGCTGTGGCCCTGCATGGCGAGAGCAAGGAGGGCCAGGCTAGCCCCCTGAGCACCCACAGGCCCCACAGGCTCTGCCCAAGTCTTGGGGCCAAAGGTATCCTTTTGGAAGGTTGAGGCCACCAGGCCAGAGAGGCTCCACGTGGGCCCTCACCTACCTGTAAGAGGCCCTCAGCAACTGGAGGCCCTGGGCACAGACTGAGAGCATGGTGGGGCGGAGCCAGCCTGGGGACTCCCAAAGCCTTCAGCCAGGCCATGGGCTCAGGGCTCTGCCTGCCCGCTACCTCTGCCAGACACTGGCTCGCCCATCCAGGCAGCCCAGAGGGAGCCTGGGAAGGTAGGTGTGGCTAGAGACAAGCAGCGGGAGGAGCAGGGGGCTTGAGCTGGGTAAGGGGAGGGGGGCAGGTCAGCTGAGGCCAGGCCGCACTGGGTCAGGGCTGGGTTGGGCTTGGCACGTGATCCCTAGCACCTGTCACAGCACTAATTATACCCGAGGGGTAGGGGGCGTGCCAGCCAGCAGGTGCTCTGGGCAGCAACATGGCCCCAGCTCTCCTTCCAGGCCCACAGGGAAACACGAAGAGGCTGCCCAAGGCTCCAGTGGCTGAGCCCAGCTCAGGGAGCAGGGTGCCCAGCCTGCCCGTCCTTTGCCCACCGCTCCTGGCCTTTGCTCTGCAGCCCAGCTGCCTGCCACCTCGTGCCCAAGGCCTTTCAGGGAGGGTATTCCCTCCCCGCCACCCTGCAGAGCCCACTGCATGGGGCACCCAAACTGCTCTTCATGGGACCAGCGCAAACTGTGACAAGCTCCCTGCCTAACGCACCAAGAGTGGCTCAAACCTGCCATGGCACTGGAGTGGCCGGAGTGCTTCCAGCTCGTGGGGTGCCACAGCCTTGAACCCATGTCCTCCCAGCCACATGGCCCCTGCTTGCCGGGCACCTGACCTAAGAATCTGTGATCTTAGGTACTGTTCCTGTACTTGGGGCTGGCCGTGAGCACCTCCTCAGAGCTGGGCCCCACTGCACCGCATACCTTCCCTGGCTCCTGTGGTGTGGCCCCCGCTGCGCCCCCCAGGTGGAAGCCAGGCTCAGGCCAGTGCCCACACCCTTGCTCACTCGTTCCTGCTACACAGAGTCCAAGTCCCTCTAGGCAGGGCCTGGCAGTGCTGTGGGGCCCAGAGACCCATGGGCTGCTCAGGAGCCTGCGGCTGGAGAGATGCTGGGTCCTGCAGGGACTTGGGGGCGAGGCATCCTGGGGGGCAGGGGCGGTGGCTGTGCCTGACAGGGAGAGCCCTACCCCCAGCACAGGCATCACACGTGTGCTGGGACGAGCCTGGGGGCATGCGGGTCCATTTTATCAGATGCAGCCATGGCTCCAACAATGGCTGGTGGCAACACTGGATGCGGAGTGCCAGCTGAAGTGGCCAGAAGGCACCTGCCACACAGCCAGTGTGAGCTGAGGTGTGCGTGTTGGTGAAAACCATGTGCCGGGACTGAGAGAGTAGAAACAAAAGAATGTAAAACATACATTTCTTCTTCCTTGATTACATGTTGAAATTTTTGATAGGTTGGGTTAAATAAAACATATGATTCCATCTGCTCTTTTTTAACCTTTTAAAGGTGGCTACTAGAAAAGTTGAAATGCACATATGACTCACGTTTGTATTGGACAGCGCCAGTCAGAACTAACCCTCCTGCAGAACACAACCAAATACCCAGGACCGGAAAGAACTTTCCGAGGTCCAGCACAGCAACTCACACCTGTAATCCCAGCACTTTGGGAGTGCAAGGCAGGTGGATCACTTGAGGTCAGGAGTTCAAGACCAGCCTGGCCAACATGGTTAAACTGCCTCTCCTAAAAACACAAAAATTAGCTGGGCATGGTGGCACACACCTGTAGTCCCAGCTACTCGGGATGCTGACGCAAAGACTCACTTGAACCTGGGTGATACAGGTTGCAGTGAGCCAAGATTGCACCACTGCACTTCAGCCTGGGCAACAGAGTGAGACTCTGTCTCTAAAAATAAAGTCACTTTTTGAAATTACCTAGGAGCTATGAAGAAAGTAAAATGATAGAAGAAAATATACAAGAAAACCCTGGACATGAAGTGAATCTTAAATTTCAAAAGGCCTGAGACCTTCATCTCAAGTTCATTTAGTCTTCAATGTTCACTAACGGAAAACCCAAACGAGCCAAACGAAAGCCCCAGAAAACCCTCCAAAGATCTGGAAATGTATCACCATCTGTGAAACAGCTACCGCAGGGCTTAGAGGAAAATGCATAGCCTGAAATGCTTATATCACAACAGAAGACCTCCCTTAAAACAGGGGAAAACAGCACATGAACTCACAGCAGAGGGAAAGAAAAATAAAACAAGAATTAAAACCAAGAGAGTTAAAAGCTGGTTCTTTGAAAACAGTAATAACTGTGTCCAGTAGGACTGATCGGGAACTACAGAGAAGATGCAAACAATGTTGGGAACGCCAAGCGTGTAACTCAAGATGCGGCACATGATGAAAGACGCCATGTGCTGTGACGAGCATCGTGCCAGTACATTTCAAAACACTAGTTAATTGACAAATTCTAGGAAAACTGACAAGAAAAATAAATCCAAGTGTTTCTATAACCATGAAGAAACTGGAATCAGCAGTTAAAAAGTAAAGCTCCAACCCAAAGGGTTTTACTTGTCCTTCTACCAAATACTCCAGGTGTACAATTCCAGTCTTCCATGAACAAATCCACAGTATAGAAATACAAAGAACACTGCTCAGCTTATGGGGCCAGAATAATCTTGAAACCAAATCTGACCAGGACTATATGAGAAAAGAACATTTAGGCCAATTATCACTCATGAAAAGAATGCAAAAGTTCTACATAAATTATAAACAGAGTCTTGCAATGTGTAAAAACACTAATATATAAAGGACCAAGTTGGGTTTATCTCAGGAATGCAAGGTTGGTTTAATATTAGAAAATCAGGCCAGGCACAGTGGCTCATGCCTGCAATCCAACACTTTGGGAGGCTGAGGTGGGCAGATTGCCTGAGCTCAGGAGTTTGCCTGGGCAACACAGTGAAACCCCATCTCTACTGAATACAAAAAAAAAATTTAGCCCAGGCGTAGCGGCGTGTGCCTGTAGTCCCAGCTACTCAGGAGGCTGAGGAAGAATTATTGCTTGAACCTGGGAGGCGGAGGGTGCAGGGAGCCGAGATTGCACCGCTGCACTCTCCAGCCTGAGCGACAGAGAAAGACTCCATCTAAAAAAAAAAAAAAGAAAGAAAATAAACTGGAAGCACACAGAAGATCCAAACCATCTGACTCCATGCTGGCCCCTCCCAAATCTCTTTCTCCTATTTCAAAATCCCATCATTTCATTCCCAACAGTCCCCAGAGCAGAAGGCAGGAAGCAGGAAAGGAGCCCAGGGAAGACCAAAAGCAAGGAGGGAATAATAAAGAACAACAGAAGTCAACGGAGAAGAAAGGAAACACGCAGTGAAGAATGCTAGCAAAAACCAAGAGCTGCTTGTCTGGAAAGGGCACTAAGATAGTCATGCCCTTGGCAAGACTGTTCCCAGAAACAAGTGAGGAAATGCAAATTAAACACAGATGAAAAAACCTCTAGATGCAACAAAGGATGTTGCAGACACACCAACATGCACCAATACGTTGTAAACCTTAGTAAAACCAATCCGTTCTCAGGGAAAATAAGTCAAAACTGGTATTAGAAAGAAGTAGGCTGGGCACAGTGGCTCACACCTGTAATCCCAGCACTTTGGGAGGCCAGGAGTTCGAGACCAGCCTGGCCAACTTGGTGAAACCCTGTCTCTACTAAAAATACAAAATTAGCTGGGCATGGTGGTACATGCTTGTAATCCCAGCTACTCCGGAGGCTGAGGAAGGAGAACTGCTTGAACCCAGAAGGTAGAGGTTGCAGTGAGCCGAGATTGCACCACTGCACTCCAGCCTGGCGACAGAGACTCCACCTCACCTGCTCTGGTATATTCTTTTTTAACCTTGATTACATGTTGAAATTTTTGATAGGTTGGGTTAAATAAAACCTATGATTCTATCTCAAAAAAAAAAAAAAGGAGCCTGCATTGCTGGGAAGACAGACCCAAAGTACCGTCCCTGTACTTCCTGCTAAGTGCTACCATAACAAGCTCAAGCCAGCTCTGGGCTGCGGCGAAGGTGCTGATGGCTGGGATCAAGTGCTGGGCTCCCATGAGCTGTTTCCTGTCCCCATCTAAGACTTGGAGTCAAAGCAGCACAGAAATGCCAATAGGTACAGGCGAAGGACAGTCCAGCAAGACAGAGTTCTCGGACAACCGCCACCCTATTCCAGCCTGCATCCCAGGCCCTTCTCCTCCTCGGCAGGACAGTTAAAAGCCAGGACATTCACCTCTTCCCCATCCCACCAACAGAGTCCATGGAGGCCATGTGGGAGTAATATTGTGGAACTCCTTCCCCCAACCGGGAGGGAGACTTCATGGAAGGCCTGTTTTCCACGCCACCCTGCACAGTGTAGTGAGGCCAAGTTCAGGGAAATGGGTTTCTACTCCCAGCTGGCAAGGAGGAGGCAGCACCTCCACCCAGTAACAGGCAGCACAACTAAGCTTCAACAGAGAGTGGTGCTCACACTGAGAACAAGGGCGACCTGAAGCTCAGTGAGGAGAGACAGCAGCACACGCCAATGCTGAGACAGGCTTCAGAATTACTTCATGAAGACGCCAGAGCAGCACCACAAAGACACTCCTAGACATAATACAGACATGCTCGAAACAAAAGAAGCAGAAAGTGCAACAGAGAAAAAGAAGAGACAGCAGAACCAAATGAAAGTTTTACAACTAAAAAAACAGTAACTGAAATAAGAGACTCTGGGTGTGGCTCAGCTGAATCGATGAGACAGAACAAGAAGACAGAACAGAAACAGGAGAAGAAAATAAGGGTTAAAAAATGAACAGAGCCTTGG